ACCATCGCCTCGTCATCTCGAAGATGCGTATTCGCCTACAGCCTCGCAGGAGACCACAAGGTAAGCGATCCCCAGGTAAGCTGAATGTTGCCTTGTTGTCTTTGCCCGCTCACCATCTTCATTTCAGCAATGAGCTAGCTCAAAGGCTAGACAACCTTCCTATCGCTGCCGACGTCGCCGCTGCCGAGAACGCCTCCGTGGAGAACCGCTGGTGTCAACTGCGAGACACGGTCCAGTCGACGGCACTCGCCGTCCTCGGTCGCGCTCCCCGCCAACACCAGGACTGGTTCGACGATAACGACGCCGCCATCAACAATCTGCTTGCCGAGAAGAACCGCCTACACAAAGCCTACGTAGACCACCCCACTGACGACAACAAAGCTGCTTTTTACCGCAGTCGCCGCCAACTTCAGCAACGACTGCGCGAGATGCAGGACGCCTGGACTGTTCGCAAAGCTGAGGAGATCCAAGGCTACGCGGACCGCAACGAATGGAAGAACTTCTTCTCTGCGATCAAAGCTGTCTACGGTCCGCCGACGAAAGGCACTGCTCCCCTCCTCAGTGCCGACGCTAGCACCCTCCTGACTGAGAAGACACAAACTGTACAGCGATGGGCCGAGCATTTTCAGGTGTCCTCAATCGCCCTTCCGCCATCTCTGACGCCGCCATCGAGCGTTTGCCGCAAGTGTAGACCAACGTGGACCTCGACCTCCCGCCATCTCTCCAGGAAACCATCACGGCCGTGCAGCAGCTCTCCAGGGGGAAAGCACCCGGATCGGACGCAATCCCTGCTGGGGTCTACAAGCATGGAGGTCCCCAACTGATGGATCACCTGACTGCGTTCTTCCAGGAGATGTGGCGTCAAGGCGAAGTCCCGCAAGATTTCAAGGACGCAACCATCGTGCATCTCTACAAGCGCAAAAGGGAATCGCCAAGTCTGCGACAATCACCGCGGCATCTCCTTGCTGAACATCGACGGGAAAATCTTCGCACGAATCCTCGTCAACCGTCTCAATAACCATCTCGAACAGGGCCTTCTGCCTGGAAGCCAATGCGGCTTCCGTCGTCATCGTGGGACCACGGATATGATCTTCGCCGCCAGTCAACTTCAGGAGAAGTGTCAGGAGATGCGGACCCACCTGTACTCTATCTTCGTTGACCTTACGAAAGCCTTCGACACGGTGAATCGTGAAGGACTGTGGAAGATCATGCAGAAATTCGGCTGTCCGGAGCGATTCACTCAGATGGTGTGTCAGCTGCACGACGGTATGATGGCGCGAGTCACGGAAAACGGAGCTGTCTCGGACGTATTCGCAGCAACTAACGGAGTGAAGCAGGGCGGCGTACTGGCGTCTACCCTATTCAGTCTTATGTTCTCTGCCATGCTGATGGACGCCTACCGCGACGAACGCCCCAGGATCCGCATCGCCTACAGGACGGACGGTCACCTCCTGAATCAACGGCGGATGTACTTCCAATCGCGCGTATCCACAACCACTGTTCACGAACTCCTCTTCGCCGACGACTGCGCCCTGAACACCACCTCGGAAGAGGAGATGCAACGGAGCATGGACCAGTTCTCCGCCGCCTGCTAGAATTTCGGTCTGGTCATTAACACGCAGAAGACGGTGGTGATGCACCAACCGCCACCAAGTTCACCCGCAGCCCCCAACACGCCGCCGCAAATCAGCGTGAACGGAACCCAACTGCAAGTGGTGGAGAACTTCCCGTACCTGGGCAGTACCCTCTCCCGCAAGACCAAGATCGATGACGAAGTCGCCAACAGGATCTCGAAAGCCAGTCAAGCCTTCAGTCGCCTCCAAAGCAAAGTTTGGAATCGCCACGGTCTTCAGCTGAGCACGAAGTTGAAGATGTACAAGGCCGTCATCCTGCCGACACTACTGTATGGAGCGGAGACTTGGACGGTGTACGCAAACCAGGCACGCCGTCTGAATCACTTCCACCTCAGTTGTCTTCGTCGCATCCTGAGGCTGAAGTGGCAGGATCGAATCCTCGACACTGATGTGCTGGAACGGACGGGAATCCTCAGCATCTACGCCATACTGAGGCAAATTCAGCTGCGCTGGAGCGGCCACCTGGTGCGCATGGACGACGAGCGGCTACCAAAACGACTCTTCTACGGAGACGTCGCGACAGGTTCTCGCCGTCAAGGAGGCCAGATTCGCCGTTACAAGGATACCCTGAAGTCCTCCCTGAAATGCCTGCAAATCCACCCCACCAACTGGGAGGAGCTCGCACTCGATCGACCGACCTGGATGAGGACAGTGAAGACAGGCGCTGTGATCTACGAATCCAACCGCATCGCTGCCGCCAAAGCGAAACGTGAAGCCCACAAATCACAATTTCGCCCAGTAAGCAACGCCGCCGCCCAACCGCTTCCAACGTGTCCTCGATGTCAACGGACATTCCGGGCTCGAATCGGACTTGTTGGACATCTTCGGATTAACTGCGCCTCTCGAACGGCACCAACCATCGTTCCCCCGCCCGCCTCTTCCTCCTCCTCTCCGCCGCCAAATAACTCCGACAATTCTTCTGCCCCACCACTTCCATCCTCCTCCTTCTTCTTCTTCTTCTCCTCCTCCTCCTCCTCCTCCTCCACCACCACCACTGCCCCATCACATCCGCGACCAACCGCGACACAAAAACAGACACCACCCACACCTCTCCCAACTTCAGCGATTAGGATCAGGACTACACCTGCCCTCACTGCGACCGTACCTTCACCTCACACATCGGCCTGGTCGGCCACTTGCGCATCCATCGCACAGAGACTGGCGAACCAGTGCCTGGAGCACTAACCTACACCCACCACGCTCGTCTCAACTGCCCACACTGCCCTCGCACTTTCAGGCATAGCATGGGCCTATTCGGACACATGCGCATCCACGATGACCTGCGGTAGACAACCGCCGGTTACACCGCACATCCACACACTCCCTACCTTCTTCCACCATCACCACCACATATCAACACGCACCCAACTGCCACCTCCCACGCAAGTGGGAAGTCCGCATCTCGACTCGGTCCCCATGCGGCTTCGGCTGCACGGGCGACTTGAGTCCGAGACTATCCCGACACGTCAAGTGTCGTAGATAGGATGGTTGCTGATTGACGCCCGCTCTCGGTTCACGCAGTTCGTCACGTTGTGTGCGTGTGTGTGTTGTGTGGAGTGGCGGACTGGTGGGCTGGGGACGGGCTGAAGCTGCACCTTCCACGGCCCTCTCACGCAAGTGAGAGACACGCCGCTCAACCCCCGTTGTGTGAAATCCTGGTGTTGTGTGTATGGGGGGCCAGGTCGTGCTGTGGCGCGCGCAGGCATGGTCAGTCGACCATGTCAGCCACCGCGCCCATTCTCCACTCCAGTCTGCTGACCGGCTCGGACAGCGGCTGGGGTGTGGGAGTGGGAAGGGAGAGTGAGGTCGACGACTCAGCGCACTTTCTCCTCACTATAAACAATCTGACACGCTTGAAGCTATCACGGTGCGCTAAAAGCCGTGGCTTGGAAGGTTGCCAACTGACGGGGTAACTTTAACCTCCTCCTTGACCGGAGGCGGTCTGAGAGTCAGTCTGCAATGGCTCCTTTTTAATGTGGCCTTTATGGCACTCCCACCACAATGTGGGATCCGAGTCAGGCGTTGGCGGTACGCCTAGGTGCGGCTTCGGTCGTGCCAGCCTCCAAATCTCTGTTGTTGGTTGAAATCCTGGTTATTGTTTTGTGGACGAGGGGTTGTGGTGGAACGCCAAGGCGAGGATCCGTCCGAGCCATCCACCTGCGGCCCCCCTCGTCTCCGGTCTTCTGGACTCTGTCTTGACACCGGGCTCGGGCGAGGGAGGAGGAGAGAGTGTAGGTAGATGCTACGCAAGTCTACTTGCACTATAAACCCCTGCGTAAGTCACCGTCCCTGCTTCCATTGCTGCCGCAACTGTGGGGCACACGGTGGACATCATCGAAATCGATGGTCGAACTGTCACCTGCCTCGACTTTCTGAAATCGGTTGCATAGATAGAATACGATGAATTCAAGTAGATACGGCCCGATTCCGATGGCTTCCAATAATAACGGAAGGTATCAATGTGGCACCTTGTATTTGTATATTGAAGGGTTACAGGCAGAGCCCTTGTTGAAGTATCTGCCAAGATCAAAGTAGAGAAATAACATTGATTGCTGTTTAGTACGAAGAGAAGGGCTTAGGCTAAGAAGGACCGTATCAAGCCTCGCAGGATTATTCAGGTAAAAATCCATGCTGATTAGAACTCAGAAGCCGATTAGCTAGACAGATGTCAAGAGTGTTTTTGAAAAAATCCTTTCAAGACGTTTTGCTAGAGACGGATTTTTGTGCACGTCCCGATAGTTATTAACATCGGACCGAGATCCGGACTTGAAGACGTAAATGATAATTGACGTCTTCCATTTTTCAGGAAAGAATCCTTTTGAATTAGAAACCGCGAATAAATGACTAAGCAATATGGGAAGGTCGGATGCCTGTTTAATGGTCGAATTTGGAATCTCGTCCGTTCCTGAGCACGATGATTATTTCTGTCGACTTATGTGTTTCCTCATAAGATCTGAGGAGACATCGCTTGTTTTCAGTGGTCTATCTGAGAATGAGCGAAAGAAAGAGACTGGTCCATACTCAGTAGTAAGGTGTTTTGCTAAGGGTGCACTAAACAATTCCGCCTTATCAGTGCCATCTATGAGAAAGATTTTGTTATCGTTTAACAGGGGTGGAAATTCGTGATCAAGCTTTGAGTAGGACCGATGACAGAAGATGTTCGTGACGGATTACGCAGGGTTCAGATCACGGAGGGCAAGTGATTCTCTTTGCCTGTCGCACGCTTAGCTCATCTTTGTGATCACTTCAAAAATCTCTGTGCTTCTATTATGAACGGATGAGGAACTAGTGCGGAGACCACGCAGTCGCCGTATCAGTATTTTTGGTCTGTTGTGAAGAAAATAAGTAACAAGGGAATCCGAAGAATCAGACTTGGAATATCTACGAGGCATACACAAATAAATATTTTTTTATTCAAAATCCGTGGGGATCCGCTCATAGCAAATAAGAATAGATTTCAGCGTGAATTTTAGAACAGGTAGACAGAATATATACAATAAGTAATTCATAGTTATTGAAAAGTAGTCCGTTAAGAAAAAATGATGAGCGAGCAGTGAAAAAGCTCATAACAAATAAACAAAACGATTTTGACTGGATCAACATTATAGGAGAAAAAACGGTCACTCATAAAAGTATAAAAAGTGGGCAGGACAGGCCTGCATTGGAACTGTAAAACGGATTTCATGAAGGAATAAGTATGCGGGTCAGACAAGACTGGCTTGCATGCGGTATTGAGTAAAGGGCTCGAAACCGATATTATCAAGGCAGAATTCATATGCCGGATGGGGCCATTCACGTCAAAGTGGCGGGACGAGAGGAACACAGACGCGATCTGTCACAGGCCGTTTAGAGTCCAGCCGAGGGGGGTGACAAGTGAGATGCGACCTAACTATTAGTAGATGGCGAATACAGAGGGTTCCGCCAAGAACGCCGACAGACCGCTTGGGGTCAAAATGAGGAGTTGACCTTAAAAAGAGCAAAACGCAGTGATTGGAGGTTGTGAGTTCAAAATAACGGGGAGCAGAGTGGAATTCTGATGAATGTCGATGATCGGCGTCACTGAGGTGGCTTAGAGAGTGCACGTCAACCTATCCAAACTAAATCTTTGAGAGAATTTTTCAGGAAATGTATCTCATTCTGCATGAAATGAAACATCGACAAAAGTAACATTTCCGATAAGGGATCCTAGGAAGCGATACTACACACAAAAAAAGGAAATATGAGTGGATACGGGAATTTAATGGCAGCGTCTTAAATCCTCGGTGTCCCTTCGTCAATGTCATAGAGACGGTTGTCCGGGGATGATGAGGAAAATAAAAGCTAAATCGAGTCAGTATTCAGATAAAGGCGCAACCTTCTGTTAAAAGTGTATAGATTATTTGAAGATCTTATGTTTATTGGAAGGTCCTTACAGAGAAAAATATACCTGGAGGCGAAAAAAGAGAGCGCCTAGAGGTGGAGGAAGCTGGAGGAGGTATAATCAGGGAAGAGTTGCGAAGATTGTACGGACGCCTACAAGAAGTGAGGGCTGAAATGTGAAAGGGGAGGCAGAAGCCTGCTTCTAGTCTCCGGACCCATAAAATTTTCAGGATAGTTAGCTGGCATCTATATGGGTAGGAGATATTTGGATGTTCCATGCCTAAAAGTTTTCTACTAAAATGTCTTTGAACATTATTAATTTTTGAACGACTAACTTTGTCCATCAAACCAAAAATGGACAACAATACTTGAGGGTGGGAAGTGAAAACATTCGACAATTTAAGTTTACGAAGACGGAAATGGTGAGCAATGAAACCACAAATGTTGGCAGCTTTGCTCACAATTCTGTCAGCCTGTGGCGAGGGATCAAGATTAATCCTATAGCTTAAACCTAAGTTCTTGATGGATTTTCATTCAGCCATAGATGTGCCTTAACTGTCTTTCGATTGACAGAGTACCGGTTGGGGTAGCATGTCAAGTAAAAAACACATGCAGCCACATTTTGATGGGGAGAATCCCATTAGCCATGTGGAGCTCCTCGCTGAGAGAGCAAGCAACTCAGCGTGGATTTGCCCCAGGCAATGAATGGCTGTAGATTTATTGAATGAATATAGGAATTTGAAATCATCGGCATAAATAAATGATTGAGAATGTTTAGCTGCGACGAGATATCACTAATATAAAGCAGAAACAAAAGAGGACCTAAAACGGTACCTTGCATGACACTACTTACAGTAAAGCTCTCAATAAAAACTGAAGGTCCTACTAAAACGTTTCGTTTACGATTGGACAGGTATGACTTAGTAAAGATTGCAAGGGAGCAGCGAAGTTCCAGAGCCTTTACTTTATCCGAGAGCCTTTTATATGGAAATTTATCAGAGGCTTTACTAAGATCGAAATAAATGACGACAATAGATAAATGTTCATTAAGAAATGAAGTAAGTAGAGTGAAAAACAGAATATGACATGTTTCACAAGAGCAATCTTGGGAAGGGCTAATAACTTGATTGTCTATAAAAAAGTCGGCAGTTTTCATGGCGATATTTTTTCAAACATTTCGGAAAGAGAAGGTGTTTTATGGACACCTTGATAGTTTTGAACATAAGAAACATCGGCAGACTCAACTACTGGAATAATAATAGAAGTTTTCCAATAGTCAGGAAAGAAACAATTTTTGAGAAAGACTGAAGAAAGTCTGTCAAGCGGAGGAGGAAAATCTCTTAACTGTTTTATAAGAAAATTCGGAATAGTGCCCTACCTACTGAGTGCGCTTTAGTAAGCTGGTTTATCAGTTTTCGAATAGTTGCAGGAGCAAAATTACTGATGCTGAGGGAGGCATCAGAGAACGGAGGAACTGGAGGGATTAGGCCTGTTTCAATGGTAAAATGTTTGGCAAAGAATGCATTTAACATTTGCGCTTTCCTGACTCCTCTCTAATGAAGGTATCGCTGGTAGTAAGCAAAGGCAGAATGACTTGGTGGGAGTTAGCAGATGGTATTTGACGGAAGATCTGAGAAACTGATTTAGAATCCTTCACGCCATCAATAGCTAAAGACTGTCTACGCCAAGCTCGCGCGAGCGTCACTTTTGAAGCTAATTGAAATATTTCAACGATTTTTAGATGGACTGATAATGAGCTCATAGAAGGATCCTTAAGGTGCTTCCGTAGCTTTTTAAGTCTGCTTTTAAGAAAATGTGGGACAGCG